TGAATGCATGAGAAGTAAATGAAGGAATGACTGAATGATCGAAGGAAGAAAGGATGGAAGGAAAGAGGGTAAGGAGGACAATAGATGTGATTTAGTGAGTGAGTAAGTGAGCGGTTTAAATTGAATATAACGACTGGAGGGAACTAAGTCAAGATAAAATCACATTGAAAATAACTGAGATATAACGAGCAAAAACTTTTATTCGCGCAAGATTGCTGTAATGAAACAGTTACAAAGTGGTATAGCTACGGTTAACATACACTAAGTAGCAAAATAGCGAAATAACGAAAAGTAGGACCGAGATTATTCCTGCAGCTGAAACTGTGACGAATGAAACAGTTTTAGCGAATTCCAATCGCAGACGCATGAAAGCCAAATTTACTCCAGCGGTCACTGGATGTGTAACAGCCGCAGCCCCCAAAGTGCAACTCCGTCAAGAAGAAGTAATTATTTGGCATCATGCGATCAGGACTCGTGATCTCCTTAGCGGTTTTACGCCAGTCCACAGCAAAGCCTGTCCTTTCGTAAACCAGATTTGGATGGTAGCTACTTGGTGTCTGCAGATCATGGTTTGGCATGAAAGCGAACAAGCTGTTTGGATTTGCGTCGCAGTTTCTAAACTGGACGCGGTGCCCGTTGGATTTGAAGCCTTGGAGGTTTCTCTGTCGAGCAATCGATGCTGGGAGAACTCCGAAGAAGAGATAGTCTCTCATGAAAGAATTCTGTGGACTCGTGAAACCAGAGTGACTGTTGACCAATAATCGGAATTGAACGTGGGCAAAATCTGGATGAGGCTCGATCAAAGTGTAGGCTTCGCTGCGATCGACCTTTTTCTGCAACTTGATCAGGACATTCTTCTTGTCGGTAAAGAGGGCGTTGATGATTTGCTGGGCATCAGGTCGACGAGTGATACTGCGAGGAAGAAAGTTGAAGTGGCGATTGTGTTCGCCAATAACTCCAGTTGACATCTCGCAGTACACTAAAATGGGGTCTTGTTTAGGCAGGGGCTGGATTTTGTAAACACCGCTCGGTGTCTTAGGCAATAGACTGTTGCAGCTCCTGGGAAACTGAAAATATAATTTCGGTTCATGATGGTATAATTACTATTTTAAGTATAGGTCTTGAACTGGTATGATTAATCTCATCTTTGATTAAATAAAAAGATATTACAAGGACTTCAAACAGGCAAATATGTGTTTTCCCACATCAAAAATCGCTTCAGGGGAAGACATCACCGCAGGATTCAGAGTTCCGCTCGTTAAACAAAGGAACAAAACTTAGTTCGCAGAGTAGGAGCCGGGAAAAGGTTGCATATTTTCATCTTTTCTATTTATGAGTAAATAGAGAAATAACGAAAAACTTATTTTTATGCCGATTATGGTGTGTTATGGCGTTATTATTGGTTTATGTGGCATACGATACTTACTATTTTTTGGTTGCAGTTGCAACACGCATGAGCAGTTTTCCACATCAACAAGGTCCATAGCACCGTAAGGGAGATCAAGAATTTCATCTAAAAAAGAAAATAAACGATTCTTTTTATCAGCAATTTAGTTTACCATCAATTTATGCCAATAGCTAGCTTCCATTTTCAGTTCAAACGAAAACAAACCTTATCTCCAATGTACTCCTGCGTGACGCAATACGGCGTGCTATTAACATGTAGATGACAATGATTTCGTAACTCCGAGAAAAAAAATAGCGATAGTTTTAAAAAGATTCACGATTGTTTCAACCGAAAGTGAAAGTTTGCAAATTAATAATTGCCCTACAACAACCGTTAATTTCAAAGCACTGCTTGATTACAGAGCGGTTGGCTATGGAGCAGTGAATAACTGCTTTTGTAAAGCGGAAGAAGTTAGAGGAAATTTTGGTAGCGACTAAGAATAATTAACTAGACCAAACGCGAATATTTATTTGATAGTTAACCGCATCAAAACAGTCCTCAATTACAGTGCAACTTTGAATTGTTTGACGTAGCGCAGCGGCTAGCTTTTGAAAGGTGGCTAACGGAAAAAAAAAAAAAAAAAGGATTCCACTGGTCACAAATAGGAAAATGTTAGGGTTGAGATTCCTGAATATTGCAATGATACAAATGGCATGTTGTGCATAAAAATTCAGCCGAGTTGATCTGATGCTTTACAAAGCTACAAAGCCGAGGGATGACACAAAACTTTAAAATGCTTTTTTGTCATTAGCCAATCAATCAGGGCTTTTTTTCAGCCATGTGCGATGATTTAAGATTTCGGTTTGATTTATTTTTTGTTGATTTTTTTTTCTTATCTAAAGATTTTTGTAACCTTGACCTTGCATTAGCGGTGGTTATATTTTTGAATTGAAAATTTGGGTCATGATATAGTCTTATATCTAGCAATAGACTCTGGAGGTGGAATGCGCCGAGGATGTCGAAATGTCAGTAGCTTTTAAGTTTGCAGTTCAGAAACTGAATTGCAATTTAGATTGGAAACAACTGACTTCTTTGGCCGTTAGTCCGGAACGGGTTACTAAGGATTTCAAGACTTACCTTTTCTCTTGCTTTCTTTCAGGCGATCAGGAGGTCTTCTCTGAATCTTGCAAATAGCAACTATAGACACAACTGTACATACACCAGATAAATGGCTTTAACACCGGAAACAACTTGGGTTAAACCATCCGCTTTCTCCTGACAATAGACCACAAATGAGATCGCACAATATCCTGTTGCTTACGTCATAACAATAAAAAAAGCGGAAAAATTGGCATTACGTCAAAGAGCAAACACAATCAAGAAGCTGTCTTCAAAAAGGCTCCTTTATGTATGGCCGTTGTATCACAGCAGCTATATCTGTCGTATAAACATGCATCCAGCTAGGACTTGTTTCTTGCTCATGTTACACTTTGCCATTTGATTGCTCATCCTTAGAGCGCGAGCAGGGAATTATTCATTGGTGTAAAAATTATGTGTAGATTTGTAAAAAGAACGTTTGTGAGACGTGCGAGGAAATAGTTTGATATGCACAAAATAAATCAAATAAACTGAACTAAAATCAACAAAAAAGATGAAGTGAATAAAATCAAGAAATAGACTTCAAATGATGATAAATTTAAACCACCCTTTAGAATATGTAAGGTTCTTCATTTTGTGGTTGAACCCAATTAATAAGGGAGTCAAACAAACATTCAAATGCAAATTGAAACTCAAATAGATTCTCAGAAGTTATAACACGCACAAATGAGTTTTCCCATGTTTATAATTCTCAAATTTCAGTTTTTTTCTGGGCCTATATCCTTTTTTGAGTATCATATTCCTCTTTTAGAGGCTACATTGTAAGCGTTCTATCATTTTATGGACCGCAGTGTTAATACCTATAATTAGCATAAACGCGGAAAATTTTGTACTCCGAAGCAAATTATCCACTCTCAGGCGTAAACGCAAATGCTCTATTCTTAGACTAAAAAAACGAAAAAAGGTATCTGTCACTTCAAATATATACACACGTTTATACTGAAATAGGCTAGAATTCTGAACGGGAATTCCCTTCCAATGGCTTCACCTCTAACGAAAAAAAACGCTCTTGCTTTGACAACGAGACCTTTGCCTATATTTTTGAAGGTTATAGGCACAGAAAAAAACAGAGAAAAACCACGGGGAAATTTGAGTGAGGGACATAGAGAAATCAATCGCAACACGTAAAGATGTGGTGCTGTGCGATTAAAACTTGCGAAATGTTACTGAAAGTTACGTTAAACGTGCACCTTATGATGTCGTTTGCTCCATATCAAGGCTATAGATTTGAAAAGTATCGAACCTCTTACCTGGAATTGCAAGGCTGGAATAACTGAACCTTTGCTTTCAATTATCTAAGTCCTGATAGTTTTCGGCACACATTAGATTATTGGGAAACTAGAATAAAGTCAATGTTTATCTGTCTGATCAAAGATCGACCTTTGGATATATTGCTGCACCTGGGTTAATAATGGCCATTATTCTCTAGAAGAGCTATTTCTTCCGTTTCGGAATCTCTTAAAGTAAATTTCAACGGAAGGAAAGTAAAACGCTCATTCTAGTTGTCAGTCAATCAGAAAGGGAATGAAAAGTGTATCCAATTTGTGAGTAACAAGGGTCCCAGATAGATTCCAATTAAGTCAAACGTAAACATAGAAAAATATAATAATTAAACACTGTTGACTAGCTGTTTAGTGATCCATAACTGGCGTACACGATTGACAAGATGGGCACACAGATCTTATGATCTGGATTAAAATTATGAAAGGGCTTGAGTGGAATAGAGAAGCTGCGCTATATATGGTATTCTGCCCGCTCTGTATAGCTTAGGATCCTCTCTTGTTATGGGCCTTTATATGTAAAACGCGTGGTGTTTACATCGCAAGTTTGCAATATCCACGAACTATTTATAGTCTAATTGATCGAAATAAAAATGACATCTAAGGAAGTTTAACCATTGCATTTTTGCAGAGTTTCAATTCTTCTCTCTGACTGACTTTAAAGCGAAAAAATGAATAAAGGAAGAAATACGGGAGCTAACTTAAGTGTTCATGCTGATATGAAATTATTACATTTCACATGAATCTCTGTAAAACGCTGGATTTTGTGACATTCAATAAACCAAAATAAATAACATGGTGAAAAGCAGATATTAATCCTAAACCAATTTATTTGAAATTTTTTGTTAAATTTACATTTTTGGTGACCCTAATTGTTTTTACATTAAAGCGGAATTGGTTTTCCACAGTTTTCCTCTAGTCTACGTGAAAGAACATTGATTCTTTCTGACTAAAGTGACTAAAAATGTTGATAAAAGCAAAAGCGAGAACGAGAAAAAATCAAAATATGAAGCCGGAGAATAAAGTCCTTTCTCGTTGAAACTGGTACAAATCACAACTTCTAGAGGAAAAGGTTGATTTCGCAATAAACCTCTGAGCTGTGTTGTGAAGAACGTCCGCTGCCACACTTACCGCGGGCTCTTCAGTCCAAGCCTTGGTCCTGATTACCGCATGTTTTGACCACAGAGAACTTCAGAAACTCAATACAAACCCCTAAATACACTTAATGATGCTAATGATATTAGCGGGATAGATTTCCCACCGGAAGAATGCTTATAAAAATAGAACATCTATTTTGTTAGTAAATTTGTATTGTGCTGTTGAATTTTAATAATCAACAGAACAAGGCAAATTAAAGAATTACTTTTAAAGCATAAATTAGTTTCAAGTGACTTACTATCTGGTAAGCTTATTCCACTTGCAAGAGTCTTGAAATGTTTTCTTTTTCCCTTTTCTAAAAAGCGGCGTTACGCTTCGGAACAAGTTTTACGTGCGTAATGGCAACAGGCATTCAATATACATGTGCCTATATCGTTTTCGGTATTGGCCGGTCAAAGCTCTTTGCAACCAGAAAATTACTTTTACCTACATCAAACTTGGGCATGACGGTTAACCCAAGAGGTTCGCCCTTATGGTCTGTCAAAATCATGTAAATGTTAAGCCTTACCTTTTCGTTGCGGTTAAAATTGATGAAGCTTCTTCAACAAAAGTAAGGGGAAGCTGAAGGAAACCAATGTGTTTAACATTTCTGTCCAGATGGTACATGTTTGTTGACGATGAAAACAGATTTATATATTTATAAGAATTTGCGTATTATACTTTTAAGATGATATTTTCAGTTAATTGTCTACATCAAGAGAGGATAATTGTACATCATTATATCGCTCAGTTGGTACGAGCGCTATGATTGGTCTATTTAGCGGGCCATATTTCATTGTACGATCAGCTAA